AAAACTTTTTTTGTTTTGTTTTTAACTGGATTAGCTTTCAGCTCTGTTGGCAAGTGGATCTAGCCTAACATGTGGCCCCATGAATGTTGGAGCCGGCGGAGAGGAGGCATCAGGAAAGCATGACTAAGGGAAGCGAAAAGGATGGAATTATCTCTTTTGCCAGTAGCACAGTCTCAGCTTGGCTTAACCCCCTGTGAATCTACCTCTCGGGGTAAAATTACCTGTTACAGCTTGAGTCCCCTTAATGGCTTGCTTCTGCAGAAAGGGAAAAATCTTGTTCCTCTTTTCCTCACTCCTCTGATGTTAGACCTGGTGATTGCCTGATCTTGCACTGAACTGGTTTAACTCGTTAAATCAGCAGAAAACTCTTCTCCCCCCCCCCCCCGAAAAAAACGGCAAAGGGGCTTGTCTGTTCCCCGGCAAAGAAAAGGGAATAGGGTTCTGCTGGCTGAACGGGTTGAATCAGCTCAGTAGAGCATCTGTGGGGGCTGGCAGAGCTGGTACAGGTGAGAAGGGCAGCAGCAGTCAGCTCTGAGGTCGCTGGCTGGACCACAGCATGCAGCTTCATTCTCAGAAAGTCCTGTCTAAAGGCTTAGTAGAAGAGCCACGATCCGGCTTCTCTCTGTAGTTTAGAGGTAACAACAGGCACTATCCTGTTGTCTTACAACAAACACAGTGCTTGTCTCATAAAGCTGGAAGTTGCCACTATTTTACAATTCCTTCCAAACTCGTACTCCTGTATTTTCAACCGTCCCATGGGTAAGTGACACTTAGGGTAAGTGACATTTATCCTAACACTTCCCTTCAAGCCGGGCCTCTCCTTTGAGCCTAGATTTCCCTTGGTTTTGTTTCCTTATTAGATAGGGAAATATTACCACAGATCTATTAATGCTCTTTTCCATCAGCCAGAACTTTTCTCTGAAGCTTCAGCAAATGGCCTCTGATGCTTGGGGAAGACGCTCTGCGCTCCCTCAGACGCGGGAATGCAAGCTCATAAGCAAACCGCTGTTGAGAAACCTCAACAAAGGGTTACAAAGAGCACGGAAAGGTGGAACTGCGCGTGTGCAAAACAGTTGGTTGTGCGCAGCTCCCTCAGTCAGACAGAGGCAGCAAAATGCCCAAATTGTATTTGATCACGCTTGGGACAGCCATGGTACCCTTAAGTACGGCGCTGGCTGTCCACCAAGCGCAGAAATCCCGTGCTGTGTTTGCCCAGAAGTTCAAGCTTTCATCTTTGACAGACGAAAGCTCAGGCAAGGAGGGACAAGAGTATTTTCAGATGGTCCTAATGAAAAGAGATATCCCGGGCAGGCAGGCGTCCACTCTTTTGCCCATACAGCTCCTTCTTCGTCTCTAAGGAGACAGAGTAGGACCAGTCCAAAGAATTAATGAAGAATAAAATGTACTCTAAAAATATATCAGGAAAAATGTTATACGAGAAATACGGGAACTTAATGATGAATGAGGAATCTGAAATGCCATGTTGCTGTTAATATCTTTAACCATAAAATTACGGAGAGGATTAGTAGAATCAAGAAATTCTTGATATAAAAATGGCTGTTGGGAAAGCGTGGACTGGGGTTACTTGGAAAATGTAAATGTGCAAGCATTGGGATGTCACTTGAACGCAGTTTGGGTAGCTGAGGAATGGATTAAATTATCACTGTTCAAAAACTACCCAGAACTACTTGTTTTTAACAAATGGCAAAGAAGATGCTGGACAATTAAGAATAAAGAAGCAGGATGCTGAAGTGTACCTGAAGGTCCTGGTTGCTTTAGTGCAGCACCTCTACCTTCCGGGGCCGTTCTGCAGTAGATGTGGGATGAAACGCCCAAGGGTGTGAGCACTCTGAGGGGGGTGTTTGAAAATACTTGTCCTTGACCAAACTACCCCCGATGAGTCCAGCTGAGAGGGCAGGCCAGCGCGGGTGGAGGCCGCAGGAGGGAGGGCAAGGAAGAGGAGAGCTCTTCCTTCTGGCTGCAGTAAATTGGGGAACCGCAGCCTCAGCGTGTTATCGAGTGGCTTTTAAAACCCAGATTCCTAAACAATCAGAAGAAAGGTGTCAGGTGTGTGAGAGAGATTCGTTCGATAGAAACAGGGTCTAGCCTGTGACGACACTTGTGCGGGTGGTCCTGAACGTGAACAGTCCCCCCCATGCCGGCGAGTGACGTGACTGTGGTGGGTGAGTGCGGAGCAGGGGAGTGACAGGGGTGCAGGAGGCAGAGCGCCTGCGTTTCGGAACAGCTTTTGACGTCGTGTTTCACAAAGCCTGACTCGAAAGTTGAGTTCAGTTTGGCTGCGACGTGAGACCCGTTGACTGGGAACTAACTGAAGGACTGCAAAAAAGATACAGATCGCAAAGGTCCTCCGCGGTCTCGGCGCTTCCAGCCGTGGTTTCGTAGCCCTGTAACTAGCGGGTCCTCCCAGGCGGACGCGGGGTCCCTGCGGCTCGCTGGGACCAGTCCGTGCCGTCGCGGGAGCCCCGCGTGGGTCTGACAGGCCGCGCTCCTCTCCGACACCTTCACCGGTAGGAGATGGCGCAGCCAGCGCCTCAAGGCGAAAAGGAGCCCATCTCCGTCCCCGGACGAAGCGCGCCAGG